GGATTTGGAGGTCCTCCTTGCCGTTCAATCCCGAGGGGTTTGTGGCACCCACAGCCAGAAGCTCCTCAGTGGGAGGGAGCGGCCAGGTTGGTCCAGGGTTGTGTGCTTCCCCGATTCGATAGAGGCGAGCATGATGGTGGTCGTTGGCAGCAGTTGCAAAGCACACTGCGTGCCTGTTGTGGTTGCCCTCCCATGGGTGTCCCCCGGACCCAGAATCGCAAGAGGTTTCCAGACTGGAAACCTTTGCGCTGTCATAGTAGAGCAGGGCACAGGGTTCTCCCAGGTGGGGCATGGGTGTAGCCGCGCAAGAGCAGAGTTGCGAAACCCAGAGCATAGCTGTGAGGATCAGGCGACTGGTGCGACCTGTGATCATAGCCGGCTTCCCGGATGGTCGCTTCCGGGATCCGGGCTGACGTAGTCAATCGGTGCGTGCTTTTTTGGCCAGAAGGGCCTCAAAGCGTTGGAACTGCGTGTCGATCTGGGAGGAGAGGTCGTGCTTGATGTTGCCAACAGCGGCTTGGAGCGCGTCTCCCTGGCTGCGGATTTGTTGTTTGACCTCGGTGAGGTCGCCTTGCTGCTGTGTGACGACCTGTTGCAGAAGCTTGAGGTCTTCTCCCTGCTTCTGGCCGTGTTGGCTGAGCTCGTGGAACCAGCTTTCGAAGCGTTTGCCTTGGTCGCGGAGCTCTTGGACACTGACCTCAAGTTGCATGAGCTTCGAGGCATCTGCGTTTTTAGCTACCTCGCTGCGTATGGCTTCCTGCATGTCCTGTTTGAGGGCCGTGCCGAGTTGGTCGATTTTCTTGGAGCTGGTGGCCGACTGTTGTGGGACAACTGGTGACATGGTGATGTCCCCGCTGGCGTGGTGCCATTTTGCCCATGGGTCGCCGCCGAGAAGCCATGGGTCCTGTTGAGGGCTGGTGGTGGTGGGGTTGGAGGTGGCTCCTTGCTGGATGTGCTTTCTGGTGCGCCCAGTGGCGCACAAGGTAGAACTGCTGCTGGATTTTGGACCAACGTCTTTGACTTTGGTGACAATGACCTCGCTGCCGATTCCAGGGAGCACCCAGCTGGGTGGGTCTGCGGCTGCTCCGACTTCCCAGGTTGCTCCTTCTGCTGAACCGCGTCCGGATTGGAGTGGGCGAGCGCTCCATCCCCACTGTGTCAGAAGTTGGGTGATGCCGTTACGCTGGATCCCGTGTGGCAGGGGAAAAAGCCGGTAGATGCTATGGATCTTGACCTGCACATATTCGTGTCCGGGTCGGAGTTGGGCAAAAGCGCTTTTCTCGTCCTGCTCCTGGACGCGAATGCCGAATTTGTTGCCGAGCCGAGTGATGGCCAGGGCAGAGTCGCATGTGCGAGCACGGTGTTTGGCATCCTGGATGTTGGCGCCTGGCAGCCAGATCACGGTGTATCGTGGGTCAATGGCTCTACCATCAGGGGCACGTGGATCGAAGTACGTGCCGTTGCTGCCGGAGACGGTCTGGAGGAGTGGGCTGGCAGATTCTGGTACCCGGATGTGCGCATGGAAGAGGACACAGTGCTCGATGGCAGTCCGTTTTCCATCTGCCGAGGCATATGTCCAAGCCCATACGTCTTGTATGACATAGTCGACGGGTTCCTCGATGGCCGGGTGGAATTTACAGGAGGCTTCTGGGCACTTCTGGAGCAGTGGCGTGTTCTTGACGATGGACTTGATCGGGGCTTTGACGAAAGCCTGCCAGTCGTGAGGGCACTCGTCCCGAATCGTAGCTGTGGCGATCTCATCCTGTAGGGGATTTGGTGACTCGCTTGACCGTCATGTCGCCGATCTGGATGAGGCTCCCTGTCAGGAGGACAGGTTCGTTGGTCCCAGTGTAGACCGCCGGGAACCGAATGGTTTCCGCTTGCTGCACAGTGGGCTGCGTGGGGAGCTCAGAGGTAGTGATGATGGCAAGGGCATCCGTGGAAATGCTCTGGGCGTCGTTAATGAAGTGCATAGCCTCGGCGACTGTGGTGATGGCAAAGCCTCTCTTGTTGGCGCTGACTTCAGCAAGAGGAATCTGGCTGATGTTGTTGTCCTCGTCATCTGTGAAGATGCCGTCGGGGACGATGAGCTGGTTGGGATCGACGTGGAGTTCGGGCTGGTTGTGAGGCTTGTAGCCCTGCTTGGCTTTTTTGTTTTTGGCTGCTGGGATGTACGCTCCGTGTTCGGAGCTGGCCCGTGATGCGATGTGGTCCTGTAATTCGTCGTAGAGAATCCAGCGGAACCTGGTGGCCGGTCTGGATGCTAATGCTTTGAGTGCTTGCCAGCAGTTCTTGTCTTTCAGGGCTTTTTGGATGGGCCCAGCGCCGAGCTTGGCAATTGCCTGGTCGGTCCTGTCCTGTGCAGCGTCCTCTGGAACTCCTTTCGAGATGAGGATGGCTTTGAGTTCGGAGTGTGTGCTGGGTAGGAGCGGACCGCCTGCTCGGAGTTCACCAGGCTGGCTAAGCGTGGCGAAGGAGTGGTGCCATTGTCTGAGGTGGGCCTGAGTAATGTGGTCCCACAGTTGGAGGTGCCACCCAAAGTGGGCAGCAGCAATTGCGCCACAGTCTCCTTCACAGGTAGAGCTGAAGACATGTTTGTGCTGGAAGCGGATGGGTGGCCAATCATAGATGGCTGTGAGGTCGGTGGCAAGCTTGAGAGCTGCTGCAGTGTTTGGTGAGTCTGGCCTGTCCCAGCAAGTGGCCAGGGTGTGGTTGTTGTCCTGCTCACAAGTGAGCAGCGTCCAGTGCTGGTTGCAAGGAAAAACAGTGACAAGGCGATCCGTGTGGGGCACCCGGATGTCGTCATGGACGCGGGAATGGTCGGTGGCGTTCCCAAGCAATGCGTGTGCCTGGTGTGGCGTGATGACGGTCCAAGGACGGGGATCAAGATAGGCGTTGTAGTTGATGAGATTGTGGATGTTGGTGAGGACCGCAAGGTCATCCCAAGTATGGTCGGCTGTGGCCAGTCCGGCTGCCCGGAGGCGAGTGGAGGAAGCCGTCTCGTAGTAGTTGCATACCTGGCGTTTTGTGGAGCGGCTGACTGTGCACTCAAGCCGGTCTGTTGCGCTGGTGATCAGCTCATTATCGGTTTTGTGGTAACCGGCCGGATAGACACGGATTGCTGCTCCCCACCCTTGGAGTGAGGTTTCGGCCTTCTTGAGCTGAGCCAGAGTAGTTGGCTTGTCTAGCGTGATCAGGGCATCGGGTTCTCCGTCCTCTGTGAGGGTGAGGGTGCGCGGCATGAACATGGACGGTGTGATCCAGCATAGAAGCCGGTCTTGCAGGAGCTTGTGTTGGTACTCCTGGATCATTCCAACTGGCGAGCGCTTTGGGCGTCCGGTGTTGATATGGATAACCCAGTTGACGATGTGGCCGAAAACCCAAACCGCCTGCAAGGGTGCTGCCAGTTGTCCGATTAGGCACAGAGCATGCCTGGCCGGTCCAGGAAGGGGTGTTGAAGGCATCAGGGTGTTCAGGAAACCTGCTTCGCCCGGGTGCAGGAAGCGCTTCATGCCGGTGCTGCTGGAGATGACCGAAAATCCACGGAGGCCGTGTTGGCGCAGTCGGGTGTCGGAGAGCGGCCCGGATCGGCATCCACAGGGACAGGCCTGTAAGGCCACCCCCCACGAGTGCAATGCCGTTGGTGCAGGTGCTGCTGTGTTGAGGTGGCGCAGATCCCTGCCATATTGAGGATCACCGTACTTCTGCTCCTCCTCCGATGTCCATTGAAGGTTGGACTCATCAGCGTTGCTCCAAACTGGCCACTCCTGAATGACTGATCCCACATTGGGAAAAGGATTGGTGCTGGGCCACGGGTGCAAGGAGAAGGGCACTCGTGAGTCTTCTGGGATCATGATGCACCACCATCGCTTGCGCTTGCTGGCCCATTGGTCTTGCAGGTCAAGGGTGACATGATGTACTTGCCATCTTCGTAAGTTGGCATATTGCGCGAGGAGGTTCTGCACGTCCACATTGTGTCGGGCATTGTGCACGCATTCCAGGATGAGGCCCACAGATTGCAAAAACCAGGAGGCCTTCAAGATGGAGATGAGTGTTTGCCCCCGGCTGTCACGCATTCCTTGTTGGTCCCCCTGGGCACTGTATGGCTGGCATGGAAAGCCTGCCGAAAGCAGGCATGGCTGAGCCGATCCGATTTGGTGGAACTTGAAGAGCGCCTCCATGTCCTCCATCTGGGCATGCACCACCTGATGGCCCTGGAGCCGAAGTGCATCACATGCCAGCCGGCTGTGGTCGAGGCAGGCGACCGTTTTGATTCCCACAAAGTTGGCTCCCTGAGAGAAGCCACCAAGGCCGGTGCAGAGCTCTTTGAGCTGGAAGAAAGCCCCATGGGTGGGCTTCGAATGGGCGATCATCCCGCATGATTGTCCAAATGAAGCCGAGGCAACTGTCCAGCAGCAGAAAGCTCCGCGTTGTAAATAGTGACCAGCGTGTCCTGGTCGATGTGGGCGTCCACGAGGAAGCGCTGCTCAGGGCAAAGCCCCATCATCTCCGTGCCCAACTCGGTGTTGGCGGCGATCGCCCGCGCCACCAAAGTGGCCCTGCTGCCGAGAGCAAGGCTGGTCAGGCCTGTGTCCATGGCGTCTCCCAAGCTTCGCTGTTCACCAGCTCTACCACCGGGAGGTGCTCGGGCCAGAGCTATATATACATATATGTATATATATATATACATATACATATATGAAATACATGTGTATATAAGTATCTTCCCTGGAGCACCAGGCGTGGCATCCTCCAACCCATTCCCCAGCAATTTTCCCCTCTCCAGAGCAGGACTGAACCCCACCAGAGGCTCCCTTCCAATGGAACACGCTACAGCTGCTTTTGCTGGTGCGAAAGATGCAGGGAATGAGGAATGGAATGCTAATTATAAACAAACCAACTGGTGGTTCCCTTGGGGACCAAAGCCTGGGTTCATTCCATGTCTCATTCCATCTACCGATTTTTTGGGCGCAAGCACTGCCAAAAGCTCCCCAAGGCGCGTCGGTGTTGTAGATGAGCTTGAACTTCTCCCAGTCGTCCGCCTCCCCGTGGCCCCGGTGCCACGCCACCAGCTGCCCTGAGGGGCTGGTCACCTCGGAGCCGAAATCCGCGACGAACCCACGAAACGCACGGCAGGGGGACCTTGGCGTGGGAAAATGTTTGGTGGAGTGCGGGCAACAAGGAAAGAATTGGAAAAAGGTGAGGTTAAGTGCTCACAGCCAGGTAAGAGAGAGTGCGAAAGGGGACCCCAAGGGAGGAGAAGTGTGGGCTTCACTTGCTTATGAAGCACTGTATCACTTCAAACTCGGTCAACCACAAGAAGAGCCCTCTATTCTCTTGAAGGGATGGGAGGGTCATGAATCAGCTGGCCCAACGTTCTCTGGCCCTCGTGGGGACCGCTTCGGATCTGCACCCCCGCAATCCCGAACACCTATCCTCTCCTCCTGGTCCCCTCCAGTGAGGCCTGTACTTTTTGGGCAAACATTGGGAGGAGGGTCGGGTAGGGGTGGTTGGAATTTCGACCGTCCAACTTTACATCCAAGAAGCCAACCGGAGCCTTTTCCGACCGGCCGATACATGTTGACAGGTGCCAAGGTCAAAATCATTGGATGGGTCCTACAACATTGAGGTTCCCCCTCCAAACCAAGGTGAGAAACCGTCCAAACACACCCATTTGGGTACCACCAAGACATGAACCGCAGATTCTAGTCCATGCTTGCGTTTACCAGCGCAACCCATTTTGGGGTTCACCAATTTAGGCATGAATGTTAATTAGGGACCTTTGGTGGACGGACCTCATTTAGGTGAGGATTCAGGTCCAACCACTTTTGAGGCGGTTCCCTACTAAAATTCATAGCCATATTGGTTGCAAACCTTCTTGGGACATTCAGCCTGGCCGACATGTTCCAGGGATCCGAAATTTAGGCGTCGGTGTTTGACCCACACCCATGTCAGTGACAGGCGCTAAGTAGGTCCCGTGGATGGACTTCAAGGACACGTAGCCGTCCGGGTGCGCCTCGAGCCGAAACTGGGCGTCCGGGTCCGCCTTCTTGCCCCGCCACCCCACGAATCCGATCTTGGAGACCGTGATGTAGCCCCCGTGAACCTCGGCACGAGGCTACAGACTGACCCCTCCATTTCCCGTTTTGGAACCTCCCAAAAGCGGCAGCTTCAAGGGAAACATAGGGAAACCACAAGTCACTTGCAACCTGTGAGGAGGATATCCAGTGAGCCCTGGGCTGGGCCAGATCTCCGAATTACGCTCCTGAAAATGCGTTCAGAAAGGCCAGCGAAGGTACCGAAGATTCATCTGAAATAACGCGGCCGAAAAAATGAGCGATGGGATTGCGGGGGAAGCAGGCGCACTCCACTGGCACAGCGTGTCTTACCCCAGGAAGTTCAGGTGGCCGCCCTCCTACCACCATAGAAACCACCCCCCCACGTTTCCCCCCGAAAAAACACCAACACCGTAACAACCACCCCTATACGTTCTTCCCGAAAAAGACCACCTTGCGTGGTCGGGATTTGCCCGTTCCGCACATCCAAGTCAAGGGGCGCTCTGCAGGGAGATGGTGCTCTGGCTCTGCGGGCGCCTGGGCTTCCTGCGCAAAGCCACCCCCGTGACCGGTGGGTCCAAAATGGCCGGCCGTGGTTTGAGGGCAAATGGGTATGGGGACGTTTCTCGGGGATACACCTATACCTACCCCGAACGTCGGGTTCCATGTAAATTGCTGGGAGGGTATGTCTTCTTTAGGGGACCCCCCCCCCTCCCCGAAATGGTGGTTGTCCTGCCAGTCCCCTTGACAAACCACCAACAAAAAGGGGTACCTTGCCAACAAAAAAGGGGTACCATGAACAAATTGAAAAACACGCACGCAAACACAAATATGAGAGGCACTACTTTCATCCATCCTTGGGCTCTACCAGAATGATCGCACGGGCTGTGAGAGGATTTATTGCTTGTTTGGCCGCCTTTTTCTGGGCACATACCTTATATTCAACAGACTGATTTGGGGTTGAACCCCGCCCCCTGCCCCCGGGAGGTTGTCATCCCTCCTTTGCGGAGGCTTCGAGGCGCAGCATGCCATGCGCGCCCCATCAGGCGCAGGGCAGCACTCCCCCTGCAGGCTGAAGGCCTGGCGCTTTGCCGCGGACGGCCGAAACCCGCCCAGATCTTCCTTGCTGGTGCTCGCTGGGGAACTTGGTTGACGTTGGAAGGGGGAGCAAAAAATTGAATTTTAGCGGTTAAGTGGGGATTTCCCACTAAACCACAATCAGCAAAAATGCAACATGTTTCCCAAAGAACAACACTGGGAATGTTTGGAATGAACCTAGGGCTTCCCCTTAAAGGAAATTAGTGGGGACTGTTTATGGGGTCATTCCCTCAGTCCCTGCTGAGAACCAGCAAGACCTGTTTGCCCTTTGAAACCAAAACATGCGGGTTATCCTTGTTCAAAAAGAAAATGCCGATCAACCCAGCAGCGCCCATTTCACCCAACTTCTGCTTCTTGAAGGTTGTAGAGGCGTCAAAAGCTCCAAAAGGTGCAATGAAACAGCTTTGGCTTCCGAAGGGATGGTTGAACCCCAAAGGCAAAAAAGCCCTAGGAACACTGGGCTCAGTTGCCCAAAGGCCCAGAAACAACAGGCTAACCTGGTCGGCTGGACAAAAAAATGGACCAACAAAGGGAAGCCAAAAGGTCAAAAGGTCGCTTCGCTTTGGGCAAGTGAGCGGATTCTTTGGTCAACTTGGGTCCCCAAGAAGGAGAAACACCTGATCATGGCTTGGATTGGCTTGATGTGACCGCCCCCGTTTCCAGGATGAAAGTAGATGGCGCATTTGACATTGGTGAACCGACCCACCAGGATGAAAGTGGATGGCACCATGTTTTTTTGATGAACCAGAACGGGGGGGGGGATGGGGAGTTGCGTCGTCATCTTCCTGTCCATGTATGCGAGGCCTAAGGGGGGGCCTGCCACGTGCAGCTGCCCTGAGGAGGCCGACCTCTTCCCCCCACAGAAACGCTGAACCCCCATGTGAAGAAGAAGAAAAAATAGAGCCAAGCCTCCCCCCCTCCCCCCCCGCTTCGCCTTGCACTCCGGGTGTGAGGAGCAGAGCGCCGATTCCGGCGAGGGCGCCGACTCCGGCACAAAGGCCTGGCGAATTGATCTCCCAAGGGGCTACCTTCCACTAACATGGCACCTCTGGGAGGGTACCTGGAAGATTGGTTTCCTCTTCAAGGGACCCCATGTCTGGTGCTATGCTAGTTAGAGGGGGGCTAAATGAGGGGGATTGGCGGAAATGACGAGTCCGGGTGTTGGGAATGAACCGGAAGGGGTTTCCCTTTAAGGGAAACCATAGGATATATGGTTTCTCCGGGGTCATTCCATTTCTCAGCGCCTCCCCAAGTTCCAAAAGGGATGCATCCAAAAGGCACCTACGCTCTTCCCATGCTTGTGGGAGGATAAGTGTTGTCAGCGTGGAATCCTCCAACAGAGGAAAAAAGGGACATCCTATGGTCAGACCCAAATGTGTTTGGGTTTGGCATGTTTGGGTTTGGCACCCGCGCTGTTGTTCAGGGCCCCACTGATTGCAAGTAGCGAGGCCCAGGTAAACTACCTCAGTTTCGCTCGGGTTTTGTGGTTGGAGTTGGTGGGCGGTTCTGCAATCCAGCGTGTCCCCCAGGATGCCTGCAAAGGAGTATGGATCGCGCCTGAAGCTTCTAAACAAGAGTAGCCAACATTAGTCTCTATGGTTGATACCTTTCACATGCAACTCACGGGCGGGATGATGGCAGCCCTCCGGGCTGAGAAACAAACTAACTCAGACTGAGAAAGTTTGCTAAGTCCACTGGAACAATGGTTTCTGCCGTAAAGCTTTAGCCTCGGGGCCAGGGTGCAAAGGTTCGGGGCACAGGGGGAGCCCAGAAACAAACCTTTTGAGACGCTAGTTTCATGGAGGGGAAACTTATCTTTCCAGGCTCGGAAAATCTACCTCTGCTAGTTTTTTTTTTTTTTTTCTCTGGGGCAAGTGCCACCAGCATCACCAGCAACATCCCATAACATCCCTAGCATAGGAAAAAGACATATGGAATCATCAACACCCTGAGAATGAACAGCAAGTGGCTTCAGTGTTTGAGGATAGTTGTTCAGCTGCCAAGGTGTTGTGTCTCTGTGTGTGTGTGTGTGGTTGCGTGTTTGTGTGTTTGTTTGCTTGTATGTTGCGTGTGTTTGCGTGCCTGTGTGTGCTTGTGTGCATGTGTGGTTGTGCCTGCTTGCGTGTGCGTGTGTTTGTTTGCTAGTGTTTGTGCGCTTGTGGGTTCTGTCTGTGTGTGTCTCATGCACCGCATAGGTGTTCCATTGGTGTCCTTCTTGCTGTTATTTATGATGGCAGGGCAGCGACTCCCTTGCACATTTTGTTATCTTGGCAGTTACACGGCTGCCACCCACAAACCCACCCTAAACAACCGCAACGCTACCCTGAACAAACCATCGGCTAACCCGCTAACCCTAACCCTGAACTAACCCTAAACCCACCCCGCAAACTACCCTATGCCCACCTTGAAACCGGCCTTAAACGAACCCTAAACCGATCCTGAACAACACTAACCCACCCCTCAACCCCACTCTGAACTCAACCCCAACCCACCCTAGACCTGACCTATACAAATCCTCAGCCAAGCCTGAACCCACCCTAAACCCACCTTAAACCGGCCTTGAACCAATCCTAAATGCTCCCTCACCTCACCTCAAACCAGCCCATGCCAAAACTCTCAACTAACCCTAAACTCAGTTCAGTCAGCCCAAAAGCCAACCGCAAACAGCCCTATATCAACCCTAAACGCACAAGCAGACTACAACCCAGGAGCAAACCCACAGCCCTCCTTGGCGCAACCGAACCCCAACATGGGGCCACCCAGAGGAAGAGAGGGAGAACACTCCCCCCCAATAGCCATGGGATTGGTGGCAAATTGACCATGCACGTTGGAAAAGTGGACCCAACCTCGTAGAACAAAGTATCCTCCGAAAGCAGTAACATGCATATAGGGGGCTCTATCTCATACAAGATTCCCTAGGATGGCGCTGTGGGTTCCATGTTCCTATGCGGGAATTAAGTCGTGCAATCGTGGCTAAAAGTAGTTCTATTCGTGCCATTTTGAAGTAGTGACCCGCAAAGCACAGCAGGCGCATCTTAAATCAATTTCACGCCATGGCGTGCCTGAAAAGGGGAATCGGATCCCCCAAAATGGATTCAGTGTTCCTTGTCAGCCCACACCAAAAAGGGGGTACCAACCCCAAGACCAGCTTACACCCACACCAAAACGGGATACCAACTCCTAAAAAAGACGAGCCACCCACATCTGGTAACCTTTCGTGGGTTAAATGGAAACTACCACTCAACACTAAGAGGCTAAAAAGCCAAGGAACCGGATGGCTGGGAGCCACCCAGACATGAGACCCCAAACCATCCGGCTGCGGAGCCAAATAAATACGCCGCTGCCTGCACCCAGCTGTCGGGCACCGCAAGCTCTACGGACTTCTCCGCGTCCAGGGCTGCCAGCACCTGGTCCTCAAGTCGCGCGTTTTCCAATGGATCGACTTCGGGGAAGGAGTTGGAACCCCCGAAATCTGGGAGAAAGTGGGGCCACAAGGACGGTTGACTGGAAAAAAGTGAAGTCGGAAAACTAACACAGAACAACTTGTAGCAAGTAAGGGGACTAGTAGAGAATCAAAAGCATGTTTTCTTCGTTTTTTGGCTGGGGAGCGGGAATGATTGGCTCGGCAAAGCGGGAGCAGGCCGAGGAGGTGGGGTGGGTGGGGGTGAAACGCACCACCAAATCAGCTTCAATTAGCTAGCTCTGGAGCCAGTGGGGTCACAAGGACGGTTTATTGGATAAAAGGGAAGTCAGAAAACTAACACAGAGCAGCAGGAGGGGGAACCATCCGATATTTTTCAATCACTCAAAGATGGCCCAAACAAGCATCTAGCCGCTCTTTCTAGGCCACCTGAGCTACTGAGAGGAGCAGGGCTCCCTATATTTCCCCTTAAAACATCACCCCCACAAAGGGACACTCACCTTTCATGGGCCGAAAAGGTGATGCTCAAAACCCCAAAAATGGGACATATAGGGACCGATGAGGAACCTGATTCAATCAGCCTGCAGATTTCCCGGCGACGTGAAATCTGAGACATTTCTCGAGCCGTCCTCTTCTGCGCCGGGCCGGCACTGCACCACTGCCATGTCCAAACTCCTGGTCAGAAACATGTGCAGAAACCAGTCCTCAGGCACCCGTTTCCCCGGAAGGCCTGCGGGGTTCAGGAAAACCCAGCCGTGCTGCAGCTCCTTTTTCCGGGCGGGGGGTGATGGGCTAGTTCAAGAAAGAAATGCTAAGAAATTGTCAACCTTCACGTGTGCTTGTGCTTGGGCTTTCTCATATTTCCTTTAGAATTAGCAAAAACCTCATGTTTCCCAAATTTCCAGATGAAGCCCTGCAATTATTTGCTAGCTGCTCTTTTTCGGGCGCTTCTTCTAGAGCCTCGTCCGAAGAAGGGCTTTTTTCCTGCAGACTCGAGCGTTTTAAGTTGAGCTGCTTTGGGTAAGCGCCTTTGGAATCAAGCATTGCCATTCGGTCACCCGCGGCCGCTGAGTAATGCATGGGGCTTGCGGGATGGAAGGCGATGCTAACAAAGACAACCACCTGTCAAGGAGAAGCATCCCCAAACGTCATGCTGAGTTCACCCAATAACTGGCAAAATGAGGACCCCTGACGTTTCGGCACACTTGTTTAACTGACCAGGCCCTGGGCCCATTCAAAGGAAGCCCAAAGGAGGCTTGTTAAACAAGTTTTGTTTAAGCGCTGGGAGAAACTGGAAAGACTTGGGAAACTTGGGGAACACTTGAGGGGATACCCCTAATCAAACAAAAACAGCACAAAACCACTAAAGGCTGCTGAAAAAAAACCTCTGCAAAAAAATAAAAATATCACTTTTCGTGGGACCAACGGAAATGTCCACCTGGTTGAACCAACAAGTAGTCCAAAGATGCGATACCAAAGAGCCAATGAAATGCCCAGGAAAAAGGCTCGAGGGTCAGCCTTCGAGTCTCGCTCCTGAGGGGCTCCGCACGCTTCACCCCCTCGATCTGCTCCAGACGCCTGATGTACTCCGCTAGCTTCGGCCCAGAGCCTTCCAGGGGCGCTGGGGGCATCAGGTCAGGGGCGGGGGGAGGCGACCCTCGTAACCGTCCTAACCCCTAAGGCCATGGCATTTAACAGGTCGCTCTGAGGTGAAATTTGATCTTCCAGGTACCTTCCCAGAGGTGCTGTGTTAGTGGGAGGGCAGGTAAATTCAGGCCCACATAATTGAAATGTCCCTGGCGATTGGTATGCGCCTTCCGGGTACCGCACGATGAGGCGGCCCTCTGGCAGCTTCTCTTTCCTTGGCCAGACTTGAAACCCAGCAAACAGTCACATGTTCCTGGCTGAAAGGGGAAATTCGACGAAAACTGCTAAAGGACAACGGAAAAAGGTAAGCCTCAAAAAAAAAACGATGAAAACTCTGTTACAGCAAACCCCCCGTCCCCCAAAACAAAAAAAGGTAAGCCTTTGCTCTAGCACTGCTTCCGCGCGCGGATTGTCTGGGCATGCCCGCTGTAGGCGAGGCTGAGGACCACCACCAGGCGCAGCGCGCACGGCGCGCGCGGCGCGCCCATGACGGCCACGCCCAGGCCCCCCAACCCACCGCCGGCTGGCCGGAAGGGATGGGGCTTGACGTCAACGCTGAGACACGAAAGGAATATTCCCACTCCCACCCTCCCCCCCACCTTCCCACGTCTGCAGATGTCTTTCCGGCGCCAGAATCAGAGTAACTTGGTGAGCTGCTATATTTTGCAAGCGCCTGTTTAGAGTACATCGGATCCAGGCAAACTCGAAGATTTGCTTGTGCGTCCTTCCTTCCATTGCGGGGATGTATGGTGTCGTGTAGCGTGAAATAATCCGTGGATCTAGCCCAGAAGCGTAATTAGTTGTTTTGTCCATCCTGAAATGTAAACTTGAAGAAACCAGTTCGAATTGCCTAGCTATGAACCGAACAAGGAATGATTGGCAGTTCAAAGGGATAACGGCAACGGGAAACTATCAGCTTCGATCCGCCCTGTTGAGAACGCCCAACTTGAAAATTTTCTTAAATAACAGCCCTCCTACCCATCAGGGTCTAAATCGAGCTCGGGTTCCATGAAGGTCCTTGCTGAGTGGGACTTCCCCCGGGCAGTCGCCGAGTGCCCCAAGCAGCTACCGACGATTTCATTCCAGATGAATTGGCCATGAATTGGGAACACCCCAAAACACGCTGAATTCCTCCCCCCCCTCTTTGAAAACAGCACAACAGAATAAAGTAACGAAATCCTCGATTGGCGTTGACATGTCCACCAGGCCAGCCATGCTTCACACTCAGCCACGGGCCACTGTTGGCGCCACCTTGGGCCAGCCCCCTTGGGGGTGGGTGGCGGAGGCTGAATGGTTTCAACCCAGTCATTGTAGCCCCCTTGCTGGTCCTACAAAAGGAGAAGGGGCCCGGAAAAGTGACAAGATGAGGCGCTCCTTCAGATGGCAAAGGGTTGTTGCTCGCAGCTCTTGGCAGGCTCACAGCCTGCACAAGGCGTTTGCAGCGAGAATGAGAACCAGCAAATAGAGTATCATACAGCTGCATCAAACGTGGTGACCGTTTTGTGGAGCCAGAAGTGAATTGGCTTTGGGCGCTGCTCAAGGACCCTTCGGCTGGCGCTACTCACGTTCGTCGAAGCGTACCCGCTAGAAAGCCTTGACTTTCCTTCGGGGGAGAGTGAAAGGCTGATTCAAGCTATGTGGTTGATTCCCAAAATCTAGCGATGGCACTGCCCATTTGGGAGTCAATTTCATCTATGGACCCATAGACCTGACAGGCGTCGCCGCAAGGGTGACACTTAGCACCTGCAACTGAGAGACTGCGAGGCAGGATGAAGCTCGTCACCATGGCTGCAGAAAGCTACGGGTGAAAATCTGGCAAGCCAGGTTCAATTGATTTTGTCACGTGCTCGCTATGTAGGTACCCCTACTTACAGGCCTCTTGTTTGGTTCTCCCCAGCTTTCCGAGCAATTTGGAAATGGTTCTGAAATAAGCTTCTGAAACGGTTACTCGGTACCCAAAACTTCCCTGCAAACAACCTGCACTCACACACGGCAATGCTCAAGATGCAAAAGGTCGAAATTTGCTTCGTCACCTTACCCAAGTTTTGGCTGCTTGGACCCCAATCCTACCCCCTTCTTCGGCTTCTTCTCTTCGCCAAGCCCCCCCCCCACCCACCCCCAAACAGCAACTGAAAACACAAAACACATCTCACAAAACGAGACCAACAGTTGCTCCAAGGGAACTTTCTGCAAACCTCAAGGGCAAAGGAAACTGTCTGTAAGTAAGTTGTTATGACTCACAAAGCTGGGAATTTGGAATCCCGGTTAGAACCATCGTGGGTGAGCTCGGGTTACCCGGAATGTTGCTCATCTTATATGATATATACATACCCAACTTTAAATGAGTGTATACATACAGACCCAAAATCACATATGCCTCCACATCTATGTGCAGGTTTTATGTGGCGCATGGTGTGAGTGTGGCCTGCTCCCTTCGCCTCGCGGACGCTGAACTCCGCGCGGAGCGAGCCGGAGAAGCCGAAGAAGCCGTGCTTTGCGCGCGCGCGCGCAAAAGAGCTCTCGAGGGAATCAACCAGTGCCCGGTTCCCCCAGTTTGAATCATGGTGAATGATGAAGCTTCAAACACCTGTGGCTTTTACACTTTTGGTCTAAACGCCTATGCACATTGACCACACTGGCTTTGTACATCTCGCTTTGGATCCCTTTAAAGGTGCCCGTTGCTCAAACAAATTTTGCAAAAAGGAGGATCCCTCCAGCTCCTGAAAATCCTGGGCCCCGGAACCCTTGCCAAGAAGCTCAATCGTCTAGTGCAGTCTACGCCCCAACCCACCCATGTTGCTGTTAAGGGCACGTTTAAAGGCATAAACATCCGAGAGAGAAGTGGTCCAACACAAGGAGCCACTTCTTCTATGTGGGGCCTCCTTTCGTGAGGCAAGCCGCGTCAGGAGGTCAGGAGGTAAGCCATGGAGCAGAAAACACCCTCTTCCAAAGAACAGTCCTGAGCTTGCCCTTCCCTGTTTATCCTGCGGGCCCTCTCTTGGATACATCCTCCGTGGAAAACAGTGTAAAGGCTGGGGCCATCCCTGGAAACAAATGGGTATGGGTCAAAATTAACACACCAGGAAACCGCAGGTTTTAGTCCATTCCAGGGTTCCATGCTAGGTACCTATTTTTGATCCACAGCCATATGTTCCATCAGACGAGTGCCTAAGCATCCCGATGCGCCTAAGCTTTCCTTTCTGGGCAAACAAAATCATGGCCTCGTCAAACCTAGGCACAACAAGCCGTGGCAGGGCTGTGGCAGGGCCGCGTCCTGCTTTCCAGGTGCTTGTTGAGCTCCGTCATGTCCGTCATGGCCTTCCGAATCGGAGCGCTGAAAACTGGATCTCGAGCACGGAAGTCCGAAAGCATCCATGCAGGACTCTCCGGCAAAAGGCACGTCAAGGGAGCCATCCGCACATTCAACAATGAAAAATGGAGCTCCCAAGTAAAGGACCCATATCATGGTGAGCTCATGTTTCCCCCAAGTGAGCTCGCCATGACACAGATGGAGTCACGTGCCACGCCCGGCTGCCAGCCCCACCCCCTCTTGCTCAAAACCAGCCGATGAAAATAGACTCCTCGGGAATGCCCCAAATCGGGCAGAACGGGTGCCAAACAGCAGGTTTCCCTGCATCTGCGGCCAAAACCGCCAAAGTTGAAGGCTCAGCGCGAGATAGAGGCAACTTGAGCTGGGCTGTGTCAAACAAACAATGGAAAAACAAGGAGCAGCATTGGAGCCAACATGTTTTTGATATCTCCGTTTCCGGGCACAGCGGGACCTTGTGCCAGCGCCACCAACCCATTGGCGGATTGATCGGATCCCACCTGGGAAAGCATCAAAAGAAAGCCTTAAAGTACCCTCCTTGGCTGCTGCTGACCTCTCTTCCAAAGTTTAACTTTTGGTGGGTCCAATGGAAAATCTACTTCCCAAAAAGCTAAAGTCCAAAGATCCATTACCGAACAGCCATAAACTCAAGGTACCCTTTACTTGGCGCTTGTCTGCTAGGCTGCTCTATCCGCCCCTCCGCGCATCCCAATGCACCGGCGCCTTGCCCGGCGCGGCAGGCGCGGCGCCGGCCTTCGGGGCCCCCCCGGACTTCGCTGCGGGCTGCGCCTCGGTCAAGGCCAAGCTGAAATCAGCTTCCGAGCCACTTGCTGGGTTGGATTGGTTTGGAGGTGTTCGGGCTGGTTCGGCTTGCGGTTCGCAAGAGCCAGCAGATCAAATCCGCGAACCAAACCTGAACCGCCTGAAGGACAACCCGGGCGGCAAAAACATAGGCACAGTGAAGTACAGCTGGGCGAAAGTAGATGGCAAAACGGTCCCATTTTGGCTCAGCAATACCCCAAACCGAAAGAAAGGGCGAATTCACCCAACCGTAAAGTCCCCCCCCCTTTGAGGCGTCCCCAAAAATACGGTTGACTGCTTATGGACCCCCCCCTCCCCCCCGGAAAAAGGGGGGGAAAACCAAAAAAACGGCTGCGTGCTTCAACGGTTGGATCTCCCCTGCTTTGAGGCTGTGGCGGCCTTGGCTTTCCCCCCGCCGGCCTTGCCTGCAAGCGGTCGCCCCAAAAAGAAGGGTGGCATCCTCAAAGGACATACGCCTTAAGCTCTGAAAACCTTGGTAGGGTGCCTAGGGCCTGGAATGTCACGTTGAGCAGGGGTCCAGGCTACAAGCACCAACCACCAGAATGAGGGAAATTCTCCAAATGAAGTGCCCTCCGAAGTGTCTAAAGCGAGCCAACTGAAAAATGCCCAGAGAAGAGTCAGAGGCCCTCCATGGAGGATGTGCAAAGCATGCGCAGAGACGTGGGCTGAGTAACCTATGCCTTGGCTTCCTCAACCTGCACCCAACGCTCAGACGCCTGCCAAGCCTGACTTCCAAAAAAAGCACTATAGGCGGATTTGCTCCAATCCCTATCCAAGAACTGAGTTGTGAAAAAAACCTGTCACGCGGGCCGATTGAACTCTTTGTTCACATGTGCACATGTGCCGCAAGCCTGCACAGCACTTCGACCATCTCACTTGCCCAAAGGACTGGGGATCAAAGGTAACCTCGAAGCCACCCAACCGAGAAGCCGAGCTGGTTGCACGCCAACCCTGACATCGAGCTCCCGCCTCCCTCCACCAGGAAGTGAATGCCAGGCTTGCCGGGCCTGAGCTGGCCCCTGCCAAGCCAATTTTCTAGCGATCATCGGTTCGGGGATCGGAGCTCTGATCCACATGGAATCTGACAGAACGAGGCCCCTTCCGCCTTCTCTTTCGGGCCTTCTGGCATGTTCCATGGCAACCAACGCAGGCGAGGGCAATTGGACTACTTTTGCCTCCACGCGAAAATGGCTCCAAATGGACAGCAAGCCCAAACAATGAAATTAGTTGTGTTTTCAATGTTGACCTTCGGGCAAGTGAATCGGGGCGCCTCAAAAAGTAAAGAACATCCATCCTCTTACGCCTAGGGTGGGGCAAACTTTGAAAATAGCTCGTTGCTTAAAGCAAGTTTTTGATGGGCAACGGCCTTGCAACCCGAAAGACCGTCAGGCCTGCCAGGTTCGGCCGCATTGGCTCCCAAACGCGGATATCCTTTCTAAGAAACGGAGCGCATCCTTTTGGTTTTTTTCTCACGCTGTCTAAGAGACAGCCAGGTTTCTACAACCCACATCAACTCTTGGCGGTTTCGAAGCGGCCAGTGTAAACTGGAGCTCCCCCCCCCAAAAAAAAAAAGAAGAAGAAAAGAACATGGTTGAGATCTACCTGTGGGTGTCGAACACTTGTCACTTTACAAGGTCCCCAAAAGAGGAAGACACTGAGACGTCGCAATGCAAAAAGAAAGTTCCTCAGTTTAGGAAACATCCCAAGGGCGCCGCTGGGCGTTGGTCGCCGCATCCTGGCCACTGTCAAACGGGTGACAAGTGAAATGCCTCCAGACCTCCTGAATTTATACCTGAAGCGCGCCGCGAAGCTTCCTGGGAAGCAAGGAAGAAGACTGGAAGAATGGAAATATTGATAATATTGTCAATCTCCTTGTGTCTGCCTTTCGGGAAATCCAGCAATACATGGAGTACTGAGCACCCAGAAAAAGGTCACATTTGCATCAATGAGTCTGAACCGCCCCCGCACAATGCTGCACTTGCAGAAAAAGCACCCGCAAAAAAAACGGCTCCTTTGACTGGCTCCAGAAACAAATGCATTTGACAAAGCTTGCAGCTGGGGGCATGTGACAGAAAGTTCCGTTCCGCCCTCCCGGGAGCTTTCTCGCTTTTTCTTTTTTTCCTGTTTCGCGCGGGGCTGCGGCATTTTCGTCGGTGCTCGAAGGCTCGAAGATGCGGCGGCGAACGACGCCGTTTGTTTGACAAAGGACCGGGCGCCAGGACCTAAGATGCGGAAGATTGAGCGCTTGGACTTTTGTGGTTTTGGCAACCTTTGCTAAAAGGTTTTGGCTACACAGCACCCGGACTTGAGGCCTTTCAGCCAGCTTTCCGAGCCAGGACCGTCTGAACTAAAGAGGATTTAGCCCAGCGAGTCGAGGGCGCTCCCCTTTTTAGCCTCCTTTTGAAAAGTGCCCCTTTGCAGGTGGTTGGCACTTAGTAAGCAAATAGACGTGCCCCAGTCGGCACTGAACTGGCACAGGGCACTTTGATGCGTCCGACTGAACGCTGGCATTTCCGTTGGTGGGGCGGACTCCAACGCGCGAACCCGCGATGCAAAGCGCGCGCCTGGTGCTCAGGGCTCGCCGGGGAGTCGGCGGCCCTCACTTCCACCGACACCTGACGGCCAGTCATGAAGCTGGCCCCGTCCCCCCTTCTCCCCCCGGTTGTGTTGGGTGTGGTTAGGTTCGTGTGGTGTGATTTGTGGGGGTTTGCCTCACCCAAAAAAAACACCTCATATTTGCTACAAGGGCCTAACAAAGATAGAGTTGGGTGTTGGGGCCTTTAAATCAAGACACTCATCTGTGTAAATTCAGCCCCTTACAGGTTACATCGCTACATTGCATGATGGTGCTTTCACCAAGGGAAGCATGGGACGCGGAGACAAAAAGGGCCCCCTAAATAGATATGGAACAGGACCCCTCACTATACATTCACGAGTTGAGAGGGCAAAAGGGCGATGTTCAACAAAATTGCACCTCGGTTCACGACAGTTTGCCTCATTTGCCCTCCTTGAGTGGGCATGTGCCAGCCTCTCACTTGCCCGAAGCAAGCCAATTTACGGGGCCTGGTAGTTTAGGGCTGGGTTGTCATGCAATGTTTTCAAGGGGAGCGCGTTGAATTCCCAGCAACAAATCCAAGGGACACCTCAAAGACAACAACACTTCTGGACAATGGCGCGCGCGCGCGCGTGCGCAACTTGTCTAGCACAGAAGCTCCGTCGCACCAGCTGCCGAGTCCTACGAGATAAAGACAAGCCGATGCCTTGAGTTCCTGGGGTCGAAAACTTCTCCCCAATCCATTTTCTGCGCGTCCATTGTTTTCACCAAGCTGAGGAAACAATCCCTGGACGCTTCCTCCCGAATCAACTTCATTTCGCCCGCATCGAATCCTCGCGCCTGCAACTTTTGCTGCAGGTAGGCGACCTCAAGAGGCCCGGTCCAACAGCCAGTGGAGCGCAGCAGGATCTTAACCATAGCTTCCGCACATGATATCGATACGCCGATGTGATGGCCAGCACGCCTTGGGGGGGGGGGAGAGAGGTCACACGTACTTGAGCAGATCCCTTTTCTTGGGCCTTGGAGCTGTAAAATTTGCAGAGTGGCTCAAACACCCAAAGTGAGGAATCCCTAAGTAAGGGGCCTGCGTCCAGGTGGTGAGATCCGCTTAGCCCCCTCTGATGCTCGCTGCGGTTTCTCGACAATCTTGCTCCCGTTCTCTCAAAACCAAGTGGCATACAATGACGAAACGCCAAAAGGCTTCAGGGCGCTCCTGCCTTCAGGGGGAGGGGGGGGGAGGGTCCCCCAATTCCATTGTTCCAGTCTTACCACCCAGGGGGATGCGTTTGCTATAGACTTGGCACAGGGGGTGATGTCCAACGGTCCAACAGTGTTAAGCCATTTCCGAGAAACCACATGATCGCCGCTGGCGCGGCACCTTCCGAAGTTGAAATGGTCTGGCCACAGTGGACATTGATGCTTCCAGTTGACCTATCCCTCAATAAATCATTCAGGGCAGGAGTGCCCTTCGCAACCCCTCCCTCCCCTCTGGGCGTTTTGTCCCTTTCTGGCCTTCTAGGCAATCTGATTGCTCGGGTTGGCTTCTCTTTCTTTCACACCATCGGGCCTTGCCCTGGGGTTTGGTGGCTTTTCCTGGAAAGAAGGATGCATGGAAAGAATGAGAATTCAGCACAGGTTGGGAAGGGGCACCCAACAGCACAAGTTGATACAGATGTTCAACTAAACAGGAACCAATTTAAGACATTTTGTTCAGGCCTGGCTTCCCTGCCTCCCCCTACTTCTCTAAGCAAGATTCTAAGGCTGTAGAGGTGCTTCGAGTACGTTGCTCTCCACTTTTGCTGCTGAAGCCGAACCCTGAAAGGTGTTTCGGTTTACTGCTGGTTTTTGCCCTCTTGAGCGGCTGCTGTGGTATTGGCGTGAGTACTGTGCGCAGTATTCCTTGGTGCCCTCGTGACGACTGTGTGGCACGGATCAGGAGTTTACCTTTCCACTTGCTATATCTTGTTTCCTTCGAGTTTGAAGGTTCGAGATTTTACATTTCCATATACCCTGGTAATACCCTTCAGTATTATGGAAGACTCAACCCGGAGGAGAGAGCTCACCTTGCCAAAGGGAAGGCTGTTTTGCAAGGAATCCTGACTTCCTGCAGCCTGATTGTGATGCCGTTGACATCTTTTCAGTTACTCCTAGCCAGGCTGCTAGGGAAGAGGGGGGCTTGGAATTGTCTGATGGAAAACTTGCCATATCTTTGGAAGTTGATACATGGAACACCCTGCATGTAGATCTGCCACTCGCCAGAAGAAGCCGGAGGCCTCCGGCTGAAATTCCCCGGCGCCCTGTCGAGGCCCGAGGCTAGGGCATTCTCCTTGATCAGCGCCAGCTCGTCGAAGGGCAGCGAGGCGTCCAGCGCAGAGACCCCGAAGGCCGCCGCCTGGCCGGAAACGCGGCACGATGTCGAGCTGCGATCCATGGGGCGGAGGGGTCGAAAGGAAACCCGAAAGGGCCAAAGGACTAAGGGCCAAGATAGATTCTGGCAATAGGGGAGGGGAGGGGGGGGGAAATACGGAAAATGCTCATCTAGCCATCATCATTTTTCACTCGAAGACGAAACAACCAAGAGACCCAGAAAGTGTGGTGGCGTGTTTGGAGGTTGGCGGAGAAAGTCACGACCAACGGGTGCAAATGATGTGGTGTGTTTCTGGGGTTGCTAGGATTTGCAGCTCAAGTTGCAAAACCCTGGGAGGAAAGCGACCCGTTCTTGGGAGGGGCATGGTGTTCTATTCCTTTAAGCTACGGGCCAAAATGCATGGCTTCGCTTTGGTTGCGGCTGCAATGCTTATTTTTCCCAATAGTGTTCCTTGCGGCTTCCCGTTAAAAAAAAAAAAAGAAAAAAAACTTCGAAAACAAAGCACGCGCCCGCGAATAAAGGCAACGATGCCAACCCCGGGTTTTCCTCGTCGCGCTTGAAGGCGGCGAAGGGCCCCAGGTGCTTGCCGAAGGGCTTCAGCGAGGCATCCTGCGCAAGGAGTGCGCCGCAAGGGGGGAGCCTCTGGTGGGGTGCTGGGTGGACAGGGGATGTCGCCTTCAAAAAATTGAGCGGGTGCACCATTTTCACACAGAGCCAGGTGAAGCGACCAGGAAAAGCCAAGGTAAGTCGCTATTCCACTTCAAGCAGAACAAGCCCGGCTCAATCTGATGTCTGAAACATATTGCAAACTGTCTCATCGCGAAGCGGATGGGGTTTCGAAGGCTCAAACGCAACTTCTTCGGTTCCTCGGATCGAGAAACATCCAAGCCCTGCGAGTGACGCTCGAAGACGGGGTACTTCTTCCAGCTGAAACGCCACTTGTCGGGTCGGGCTTTTCTGCTCAAATGGGCGGGGGGGGGGAAACCCACTAATCGAAGGAGGCTTCACAGACGAGCTGATCCTTGGGGCTGTCGACACCAGAAGTCACACAAGGAGCTCAAGCTGGCAGGGGATCTTTCCTGGGATCCCCTTTCTTATCAAACCTCCGGACAGCCAGGGAAAACGGATCCGGCTTTTGAAAACGAAGGTGGAAAAGACAGGTGAATCAACCCCTCGAATCTTTGGTTGTCTTCCGGAACCCACCCAAAACAAGAATGGGCGTCGCTGTCCTGTTGGTCTCGTGGATTAGGCTTCATGCTGCCCAAACAAAACCATATCCTACCCAGACAGACCTCCACTGGCGATAGGAACTCAAAAGACTTGTCCCTTTTCTGGGCTCCCCAAACTTGAACCGAGAAAAACAGAAAAGCCAACCACTGGAGGGCTGAGCTTTTCGGGACCCGAACCCAGGCATTGAGCCATAAAAGCCATAAAAGCAATGGTCGGCAACACCATCTGTGCAGTTGAAGGGACTTCCTCCAAGTCACATTTCCCAAATGTTGGCAAAGTGCGTACAGGCGGCCAGACATTCTTCGTGTTTCAACCAATGCTGTGTGAACATGTTGAGCCCGCTGCGGCTTAATTTCAGCCTCCTTTGAGTTGTCCTTTGCCAAAAAAAAAAAAAGGCACCAGGTCCGGTCTGGTTGTCATTTAGTTCACTCAAATTTGGCAACACCCCAGAGGCAATTTTCAAACAAAAACGGCCTCAGCCCCGAAACCCGGTGCCAAAACCCGCCCCGCAGATCTCGACGGGGGCGGGGGCTCAGTCGGGAGCCGCCTGCATCAGCAAGGTCATGATCTCCTTCCACTGGGCGCTGGCCTGCGGGTTCGCCTTCATCTCCTCCTGTTGGCCACTCGAGGGGAGGTTTGCCGGGACTGACCAATCCGGTGTATCCCTCCCAGAAACTTGGTTGGCGCTGACAAGGGGAGCAAGAATTTGAACTTTAGCAGTAAAGTGGGGATTTCAACCACTAGACCACAATAAGCAAACAAATGTGACATGTTGCCCAACAACAACCATGGAAAACCAGCACTTGCAAGGTCCACTTAAAATCGGGAGGGACCTGGCCCGCTGCTTTTCTGCTCTTCTCCAGATCCGCAGCCGGATTCGGTCCTAAACCCCAAGCAAGCTTGCCACCCCCTAGCGATTTCTGGCTTCCCGAACCTGGAAAATGGTCTGGGCCCCCCAATGGTCGCGACTTCTTGTGGCTATCCTGGTTGGCAACGCAGGTGTTGTAGGAATGTTCCGCTTCAGACGTTGGGACCAGCCACCTTGAATTGCATCGCCGGAATGCTCGTCCCAATGAACCAAGCAGAAAACTCACCAAACCCCAACCCAACTCGTTGGTTGGCGCAAAGTGGACCCCCCTTTTCAAAAATGTTAAACGCCGCGCCTTGCTGACAATAAATTGGACATCAGCCCCAACAGCAAATCACCCGGCAACACGCTTTGCGCCCCCCTCGGAGCCACAACACAGCAGAAGCCACGAAAAGCACAACCTGCAGCTCACACCAAGCGGTCAACAGGCCTGCGCGATCAAAGGCAGCTTGCCCTCGGAGTGGCAGCTCCTGAGAGCTCCAACAGAAAACCCCCCAGTGGCTGAAGGGTTCCATGGTCTTAGGGGCGTGTCCGAGGCTTGATGCGCCATTTGCTTAAGCCCCCTGGAAACAAGTAGTGATAGATTCCCTTTAAAACCAACAGGGGAAAAGTAAAACATATTCTTAGGCAAATGGAAGTGATGTTCCGCTCGAATGGGTCAACCTGCCGGTTGTGACTGTCTGCTACTGGACCTGTGGCTCGTGCTGCCGTCTTTTGCAAACTACACCCGGAAAAGATTGGCCTCCGAAGAGGCACACCCATATGACACAAATCCGCGTGATTTTGAAGATGACTTCCAATACCTCTCAAAACCGCTATACCCCAGGGAAATATATGAGAATCTCGCCAGTAAATGCCGCTGTTGCCCATGTTTCCTTTGCAGTATTGGCTGGGAGCAGTGGGAAGCCATCTGAGATGATGAACAGGGATAACAGTGACATTGCATGTTTGAGCGGTTGTTGCAAACTTTGCAAAGATGAATGCCTCCTCGAAAATTGAAGCCTGCTGTTGATGGCAATCTATCCAGTAACGAAGCCGTAAGTAACCTTTCCGCGCAATGCAAGTGAGGAACAAGGGTCCATTTGATAGTGGTGGCTGCCCAACTCAAAAGGATCGTACGCACTGTTGTATCTCCTTGGAGGTTTTTAGATGATTTCTTGGCGTACATGGGGAAGCCCAACATGTGACCATGGGAATGTCACATGCATGAGCGCATGCTCCAGCGAACATCCTACCCTTAATGACGTCCTTCTCTCACGCGGTCTCTTAGAAGAGGTTGAAAAGGTGAGAAGACCCCAGGCTTCTCCAAGGCCCCTTGAATTTGCTACCTTCAATCCCGACCTACCCCAGGGTGCGAAGCCATTTGGGCCAGACTTCGACCCCTGCAAAACGTTTCCTGAAGGTTTGGAAATGAAGAAAACGCAAAAACAAAACAAGCGCAAAAGGGCTTCAGTCTGGCAATGAAAATGGGCCCAACCGACGCCTTCGCCGCAAACTGCCGTCGAATTCGATTTCAGCCCCAGGCATCAGCTTGGCAAGCACTGTCCTCAGATTTCACGGAGGCGGGGTGCTCGAAAGAACCATGACTTAAACTTCAAAGGAGATTCCTCTGAAAACAAAGAATGTGATTTGTTTGGGCTCCATGTCAATCTGCAAAGGGTTTAACCGCTTTTCAAGTGGTCAAAAGCTTTCAAAAGTGACTTCTGTGAAACCAGGGAAAGAGCAAGCAGAGCTAGGCATAGAACCCAGCAAAGTCCCTTTTGGAGGATATTGTCTTCCAGCGCTCAGCTTCTAGTGAATAGGATGCATGCACGTGCTTAATTGACGCCTTGTACTTCCGTGCTTGCGGTATTCTCCGTGGGCTGGCATTTGTCCGTTTCGCCCTTTTGCCCTCGACACCAGCCGAAACCGCTCCAAGCAGGCACAGTCCGATCCGACATCTGGGCTCAGCGGCTTCTTCCATTCTGGGAACTCCTGGCGGGGATGCGGTATCCAGGCACATTGCGCGGATTCAGCTTCGGTGCATGCCCCTAGGTCAGCAACCAAGTGTTGAATGGTTATAAGGGGTTGAAGCAAAGCATGCCCAGAAGAAAAGAAACCGCTAGTTGTGTTTCGTCAAACCCGAGCTTCCAATCCTGAATCGGTGCGTGTATATCCCCTTACCCCTAGGCGCAAATGAAACCGACCTGGCCTAGCGTGTGACGAGACCTGCTTGAGAAGGGATGATTGCAAGGGACCCTTTGGTTGGATGGTCCTTGGAGAATCAGTCAAAACTGGGCGCTTAAAAGAGACTCTCAGTTTCCCAAATGCCCATCATTTTGAAATGCGCTACCTGAAGTGTGCTTGATGAGACTTGCAATGGCGCCGTGATATGAGCAGCATCGGCTCTCGCTAGCTCTCGCTCGGCCATCCCTGGATCTTTAAAAGCTTCTTCCTTGTGCCAGAACCAGTGAGCATTCTTAACGGTTTTCCTTGAAAAGCGTCCAGAAGACAGTTATAAGGGGTTGGCAAATTGTCCACTCTTTGCAAGCCCGTAATTCGGCCAGACCTTCGAATCGTCAAAAGGTGCTGTTGTTTCTTAACATTTTCATCTAGGCAATCCTCTTCCAAAAAATGTCAAAGTGAGAAAGACCAAGTAAGTAGCAGCTCGCCGGCAAAGAGAGAAAGATCAAGTATATAATCCAGTTGCCCAGTGGGGAGCTTCTTTGGGCTTGACCAGTTTTTTTGTTGGGAAGCCTCCAAGCAGAAAGGGAATTAGAGGGTGAAGTCCGCTCAACAGCTGGTGACTCGATTAGAAAGGGGCAACAGCGCGGCAAGATGACGCCAAATAGGATAAGCCTGTTTTGGGTTGGCCATCATAGGCAGGAGACCCGCTCCAGGCAAAAAAGGGAATACCACTCAATGTAAGTCAGACCAGCTTTCTTTC